GGGGGGGGGGGGTTACCACACACAGAGAGAGAGAGAGAGAGAGAGGTTGAATGGCAAAATTGAAATATGGGTCAAATTGCGGCCATGATCTATTTCATGGTTGGAGTGATTTTATTTTATTTTTTGGCATTTTTCCTGGAAAGATCACAACAAAATTTACGACTACTCCACTTTTCAGGTTTTTTCACGCATTTGAAAATGGAAAATGGAGTACTTTTCCATTTTCAGTTGGCCTACACATGGAATTTGGAGTACTTTTCAGTTGGCCTACACATGGCTGAGTGGTGAAAATGGAAAATGTGCCGAATCGGTTCGACGATTATTTTGCAGTCTAAATGATTTTTTGAAAATGTTCTAATATTTTTCCTGGGAAGAACCTGCCCTCATCTATGAACTCTCAAAATTTCAAATATTTCTGTGGGTTCGTCCGAGTACAAAAAATTGTCAAAGTTGCCTCTTGCAAAACGCCTGTTTCGTTGCGCCTGACCTCCCTGTTTTGAGAAGACGGGCCTCAATGCCTGGGCCTGATGGCCCTTATGTAGTTCACTCAATGCCTGGGCCTGATGGCCCTTATGTAGTTCATATGCCGGGGTAGCACCGAGGAGTGCCTTGTGGGAGTGACGATGTGCATGTACAAGTTCGCCACACTTCTGGAAAGTAGGTGGAACGCGATCTTGGGAGAAGCCCCCTGAGGGGGAATTTGTGCATGTACAAGGGGTGCCTTGTGGGAGTGAGGACGTGCATGTACAAGTTCGTTGCACTTTTGGAAAGTAGGTGGAACCGCAAGGCGATCTTGGGCGAAGCCCCCTGAGGGGGGATTTGCGCATGTACAAGGTTGCCACACTTTAGAGCCTCAAGGTGGTTCTGGGAGAAGCTCCCTGAGGGGAAATTTGCACTCCAAGGTGATTCTGGGAGAAGCTCCCTGAGGGGGAATTTGCACTCCTACTGAGAACTGTGCATGCAAAGAAGTTATTCCTTTCTATTGTTGCCAGTACGAGAAGCCGTCTATGGCCAATGTTTTTTACTATTCCATCAATGTGCATGTAAAAGAGACGGTTATTCAATGGATGGCATTTTTATCCCCTCGGTCGGCTCATTGGATTCACCATTTTGGCTGAATTCTTGATGACGAAATAACAGGGTGGCTGACCTGCCGTTGAAATTATCTTTCAAGCACGCGATGCATCAGCAAATTCATGCGCCAACACCTGCAGACGAAATCAGACGGTGGCTGAGCTGCCTTTGAAATTATTTTTCAAGTACGTGATCCATCAGCAAATTCATGCGCCAACACGTCATTAGATTTAATTTTCACCTCCACAAGGATTTTCACCTCCACACGGCAGTAATAAGCATGCTCAAGTTTCAAAGCAGGCTGCTAATAGCTTTGGTGACGGACATGTCCCAAATGGACCATATCAAAAGGTGCTAAAACCGCACTATACCTACCAACAAAATGGCGCTTCGGCTAGCGGTTACAGCTACTCAGGCTATCAAATACCATATGTGCCGGTGCTCAGCCCATCAAATACATCATGTACCGAATCGTCAGACACTTGCGATTAACACATCGAGACTGCATCATGCCTTTCCCGGGCATGGAAAAGCGCATGGGGAGCTCTCGCATACTTCGAAGATCAGAACGCACATGAGGAGCTCTAGCATACTTCGGAAGATAATTATATGCGTTAGTCTCAAAGCAGGGTAACTAGTCTACGGTCCATTCAACTAATGGCGACGATCTTCCTGAACTTATCGTCATCACACAAGACCCACAGATGGGCGATGCTTCTGTTGGATAAGTCGCAGTTGACAGTGAAGACATCGCAATATCCAAGCGGCGCCCGCGTTCGACTATGGAGAAGACTATCAAATTGTGCATCCCCCTACCAAAAGACGCCATGAAAAGGACACCTCATACCTGCGAACTGACGCCACATGCACACGTCAAACCTACCAAAGATCAGCGGGGACCTGGTAACTTGTACAAAGTCCGACCTAACGTGTGCATGAGCCCATATGACAAGGCGCCAGAAGACATATGTTCTATTGGCAGCAGCTCAGAGCCAACGAACAGCATAAGTTGTAGCAACCTAGCAGTCACGACTGTTTGGCACGAGGGGTTCGAAATAGCACCAAACAAACTTTCAGCAAAAGCGCATCAGGCACCCCCAGGTAATAAGTCTCGATCAAGCGTACTGCAGAGAAGCTCGAACTGAACAAGATGAAGAAGGTGAGGTCTTACTCGCCGTGCAAGGGTTTGGATATAACACAAATGGAGGATCGTTGAAGACCCAATCCTCGCCAGGGGCACCATGAAAAAGCTGGTATTGAGTGCAAGCGCAATGGTTTCTCGTAAGCACGAGCGCACTCCTTTCTCTTTGAGTTCGAGGGGTTCGAAATAGCACCAAACAAACTTTCAGCAAAAGCGCATCAGGCACCCCCAGGTAAAAGTCTCGATCAAACGTACTGGAGAGAAGCTCGAACTGAACAAGATGAAGAAGGTGACGCCTTACTCGCCGTGCAAGGGTTTGGATATACCACAAATGGAGGATCGTTGAAGACCCAATCCTCGTCAGGGGCACCATGAAGAAGCTGGTATTGAGTGCAAGCGCAATGGTTTCTCGTAAGCACGAGCGCACTCCTTTCTCTTTGAGTTCGAGTGCACTGAATTTCTCTTGAGCGCGAGCGCTCCTTTCTCCTTGTGTGCGAGCGTGCTGAATTTCTCTTGAGCGCGAGCGCAATTTTCTTTTCAAGAGATGCGCCTGCTTGAGTGCAAGAGCACTTCAGATGGGCGATGCTTCTCCTGGTAACTCGAAGTTGATAGTGAAGACATCGCAATACCCAAACGGCGGCCCCGTCCGACTATGGTGAAAACTCAAATTGTGCATCCCCCTACCAAAAGACGCCATGACAAGGACACCTCATACCTGCGACCGGACACGACAATGGACACGTTATCATCAACCAAAGAACAGCCGGGACCTGGTAACTTGTACAAATTCTGACCTAAGACGGGGCAGAGCCCATATGACATTCGCCAGAAGACGTATGTTCCATACGCAGCAGCTCAGAGCCCACGAACGGCATAAGCTTGTAGGAACCTAGCAGTCACGACTGTATAGCACGACGGGTTCGAAATAGCAACAAACAAAGTTTCAGCAAAAGCAGCCCCCGGATCATAAGGCTCAATCAAGCGTACTGGAGAGAAGCTCGAACTGAACAAGATGAAGGATGTGAGGCCTTATTCGCCGTGCAAGGGGTTCGACATACCACGAGTGGAGGATCGTTGAAAACCTAATCCTCGCCAGGGGCGCCGTGAAGAAGCTGGTACTAAGTGCAAGCGCACTGGTTTCTCTTGAGCGCGAGCTCACTCCGTTTTCTTTGAGTGCGAGCGCACTGGATTTCTCTTGAGCGCGCACTCCTTTCTATTTCAGTGCGAGCGCACTGAATTTCTCTTGAGCGCGAGCGCAATGTTCTTTTCAAGCGGCTGCGTCTACTTGAGTGCAAGAGCACTGATTTCGTTTCTCTCCCTTCTTCAAGGCAGCACAGGATGCCGCAAGCTCTACAAGCTCCGTTGGACTGCAACTCTCCAAGATATCTCCCTTTGACTGTGACTAACCATGCCATGCGCCCTCGTTTTCCTCGCTAACGAAAGTAGATGCACACGAAGCCTCATTCAGCTTGTAGTCTTGGTAAGGATGTTAGCTGAACCAACATGTTATTATACCATCAATAGTTTATCGTCAATATTTTATCATCAATATTTCACCATCGGCATTTCTCTCTCCCTCTACCTTCCTCTAGCTCTCTCTCACACACGCCCGATCGCCCAAAATGACAAGCAAACGAGAAACCCCATTAACAAACACCACCAGCTGAGGGAGACTGGAAGACGTCGGTGAAATAAGATGTTAGGACAAGCCGGCGAAACAAGACAGAATCCTAAATGTCGCATCTTCCTTCCACGCCTGAGAGTGAACAAGCTTATTAGATAATGACTAGTTAGAAAACCTCTCTCTCTCTCTCTCTCTCTCTCTCTCTCTCTCTCTCTCTCTCTCTCTCTCTCTCTCTCTCTCTCTCTCTCTCGCGCGCGCGCGCGCGCGCGCGCGCGGCACCCTCCTTGCCTCTTCTGACTTCATCAACGGCGCACAAGAGAACGTAATTAATGCCTCTCTAGTCTTTCGCCGTGATAACCGGTATAAACATTCGCCAGGACCCTACACATCATCTGCCGTCTCAACGTCGCAGAACACACATCTGATTCGTGGAAGAGTCAACAAACAAGACGATGCATCAAAAGACAACGAAATACGCACTAGCTTCCTGTATCCCAACAAGATCACAAAGTCAAAAGGGCGCATGTTCACCACCTCAGCATTTCAAATTTCCTGTAATCCAGACGCAAAACCGGCAAACAAATACCTATCATTCGCTTGACCGAATAGGTGAAACACCACGCACCTTGGAAAATGAATAATCATATGAATCCATCAACATAAGAACAGAAACGTGCAGCAAAACGCACTGCAGATAAAGAGAGGAGATGAGAAAATTAGTCGATTCGGAGTAGCCATAACTGAGCAAATCTTACTTCCTCCCTGTAGAATCCTATACAGCTTTGCCTCGTACAACAGCTGCGGATGCCTCGTCCGAACAGACTCCTGCGACAGAGAACGAGAGAGAGAGAGAGAGCGGTCAATCGCCCACACAACCACCCGCGTTCTCTTGCTCAACAGATTAATTACTTATCAAATCCATTACTCTGCTCCCGTGAACGTGAAAACGGTGATCGGCTCATTAAGACCACCCTCACCCACCTTCGAGGAGCCATCCGCCATGCAAAGATCTGAAGAGGACATGAGAGAAAAGACGCATTTCAGGGGAAAAGGTCAGATGCGTTGTAGATAAAAAATTGAGAGACCGGGGACGTCACATACTACAGCATGGGCCATCAAAGAAGCAGGGGCGTGACGCGTCCCACAAAACATTGTACAAACATCCGGCAAGGCGGTGTGATGAGAAAGGATCGCCGTGAACGACCGTTCAAAGAGGCCGCCATAACAACGTAAGCCAATGCGCAACATGCTTAAATGGGAGGCCCATCGCGTAGGAGGTCCGCGCAACGTCCGACATGACCCTACGGAGAGCCGATCCGGATCTTAGAGGGAGCGCAAGAGGGGAACAGTAAGAGGGAACTTCAAGGCAGCATACCGAGGGCAGGCTGATGACTGATCTCCAAGAGGATTCTCCGAGAGGGAGGGCTAAGTGGTGAGTCCAAATGACCTTGCTGGACATGCACAGAGCTATTTTGGTACAATTCGGACTGAGTTCCGAGAAGAAAGGAAGGAAGAATGATAATTGGAATCAGAGGTAACGACGGGGATAAAAAATGGATGAGAGAGACGACGCCAAGACATGACAGTCCGTAAGAGTTTCGGGCGCGAGACACGTGACGGAGGTCACGGGCAGGTGACTGCGGAAGGGACGAGGAAAACGAAGGAACTGAAATGAGCAAGAGAAGAGGCGGTTGCGTGAATCAAGGAGTTGAAAAGGCAAATAGGACGTAGGTGGGAGGGAGATAAGAGGAAGACGGGTAAGAATCTGTGGGGAAAAGCGGCAAGGTCGTGAGAACGAGGCGATCGCAGGCTAGAACGGACAAATTGATGAGCAGCTCATTGAAAAGGATAGGCACCAGAGAGCACAAATAAATTCGAACATACAGAGCACGGTACAACATACCGGGAGCACATGTACCCTGTTTAGCTCGAGGGTTCACGGGACGTGACCCAGTGAAAGGAGACTAGAATGAAAGGAGACAAAAGGACACTCACCAGCTTGATCCCGACTTCTTCATTCGTCTGAATATTTGTCCCTGCATAAAACAGACGCGAGGTCAAATATCAATGGTGATGAAGATACGCCACACGAGCCTTAGCAGAAAGGGAAACAGGCATTCAGGCAGAGTTGAGGCGAATCACAAAATGAACCATAGACATAAATGGGAGGGTGAACCAGAAAAAGACACGAAGTTTCCTCGAGAGAAAGAAACGCACAGAATCAAAATCCAGACTCTACCAAGGAAACCGTCTGGCGGAAGCCAGGAAGAAGCCGAGAGTCCGGACTTGACACAATGAGCAAGGATACGGTTAAAAAGATTGGGGGAAAGAGTCCTCTTCACTGAAAAGACGAGCGTCATAGAAAGGTCGTTGCGATCAGCCACTTGTAACTCCCTCACCTAAATATATCTCACCGAAAGAACCGCTTCCAATCTTGCGGCCCAACCTGTACTTGTTACCGATGCGCGGCTCCATGCCCCTGTGGACAACAGTCGAGACCTCAAGCACTGCCTACCACCCTCCTGCCACGTGTTTCTTTATCTTCAACGTGCGCGCGTGAAACCCCTGTAGTCAATCTTAAAAAGGAATCAATTTTAGGAGGAAACGAGGCGCGGTGAATGATTCCATGCGAAAGAGAGGCATATGGAACCCAGTCACAGCTATGGGTGGAAGATCGCTGCACCGGCGCCAACAGCAAAACTTGATTGTTGGGAATGCTGCGAGGATGACGTGCACAGAACAGATGAGGGTGCTGAAGGCATCTTCCGTACTCAATGCTTCGACTACCCCGCTGCCAACACCGTGACCAGGGTAAATGGCAGTGGTCCAATCACCATGACGTCATCATCGCCGTTACCTCGCATGCTACCTCGTAAGAGGCACAACGCGCACCAATCTCGCGTGATCAACTTCTATCGGCTGCGCGCGGATAGGGTGCCACGACATATCGGAGCCCCCCTCTATTTCGCGGCGTCCTGCCTCGGCACACGCATAACCCGTTCTCGATGAAAGAGTGCAGGAGTAAAATGCCGACATATCCATTTTGAATTCGGAGATAACCAAATACGGTATTATCACCATCCTGCCCTGTAATGTTGATGGCGGGTCCTCCGCAAGACGCGGGTCTACTGAAGTCACCACAAGACCCACCGTTACCCCTTCACCCTCAGTTTTCCTGAAGCAGACGCAAGACGCCTATTCTGCAAATAAGGTTGCGGTTCTATTCGCGGTATTCCGCAGCCCTTCACCACGTGTACCCAGCCTCCGCCAAGTTGACAATCACGATTGTTCGCAGCCCGTAGGGTTCAGTTCTTTCGCAGTCCTCAGGGGCAGCATTTTATACCCCTGAGTTCGCACGGGGTCCGTTTTATACCGCTGAGTTGGCAGCCCTGAGTCAATTGTCTACCGCCTGGGCGCGGGGACCGCAGCACTAAGGTAGCCAAAGCAATGAGAATAAAAGTGCGCAAGAGAGAGAAAGCGAGAGAGAGAGAGAGAGAGAGAGAGAGAGAGAGAGAGAGAGAGAGAGAGAGATTCATTTATTGTTACGCATGTGAGAGAAAGACAGAGTGAGAGAGAGAGAGAGAAAGGGAGGGGGTGGGGCTACCACAGAGATAGAGAGAGAGAGAGAGGGAGGGGGCAGGGCTACCACACAAAGAGAGAGAGAGAGAGAGAGAGAGAGAGAGAGAGAGAGAGAGAGAGAGAGAGAGAGTTTTGTTCCATTTGTTGATACGAGTAAGCGACAGAGAGAGAGTGAGAGAGAGAGAGAAAGAAAAAGAGAGAGAGAGAGAGAGTATTGTTCCATTTACTGTTATGAGTGTGAGAAAGAGAAAAAGGGGGAGAGAGAGAAAAAAAAAAAAAAATCGTCACAAACAGAACTGCCCGGTAAACCGTTGGCAGAGAGAGAGAAGAGGACAACAAACGAGGGGCTGTAACAAACTGTTTCGTCGGAATATATATATA